TACATAGTGGTAGGTCTTGTAACAAATGCATATTGACTGTATGTTATTGTCATACGCAAGACTGTTCAAAAATTCCATTTTTGATACTAATGGAAGGTGGGGGAAGGAGACTTACTAGTTTTTGTTGTTACACAGGAAGTGTATTTACTAAGGAAAACAGAAGTCTATTCAGCATCTCCAAACAATATAGAACAGTTTTAATTAGATGGAAAAGATGTCCTGAGATATAAAGCTTGATTCAGTCTTTGATATTTCACTCTTCAAAAACTGCTCACACAACAAACACCTATCAGTAAAAAGATTGTTATTATTATTATTATTATTATTATTATTACTGTTACTCAAAAATGCCCAAGTCAAAAGTCTTAATTTTAACATTATCTTCCCTTCCCTTAGACTTGATTGAAAAGTTTTGCCAAAATAGTGATCCTGAAAATCCTGTCCTTTCACATTATTTTTTTGTGTCCAAAAGAAATAGTTGTTACTAGCAGCTAGTCCAAGGAAGGGGTTCCATGTGTTCATCCATTCTTTTTTTTCCCCTCTGATTTATTTCTGGAAGGTAATGAAAAGAATGAACACCAGGTCCAGGTTCTTGAAAATTCCACAAGAGATGGAGCTGGGTGGTACCTGGAAGTAGCAAGCAGTTAGCTCAGTGTGGCTGTGGCATCAGCTGGGGAGGAAGCAGGGGGTGTCTTTCATATTGGAAGGGTTTGTTCAAGGAAGAATGTGGCCACCCCTTTTTGCGGGTACTGATTGGAATCATCACCTGTTTTCCATGACTCAATATCCTTCTCTTCTCACCTCACCTGTGTGCAGTGCAGGTGTCTGTTCTATAACCTGTTTTGTGACCAGAAAAACAATTACTGTACATCTGAGACCAACTAAACTTTGGGGTGGTAATAAGCCTCATGGTATTTTAGTTTTCTTTTATAAATTTATGATACTGCAGTTAATGAATGTATGTCATTCTGGTGAACTAGTTGTCACTCAGGAGCAACAATCACAAATTGGAAGGTGTCTCTTTATTTAGTGTCATATGCCTGCTCCTTCCATTTTCTGGGAGGGTGACTGGGGTCCTGTCTGGGGGGTAGCTGGAAAGGGAGAAGCTGAAAGTGGAGGTACTGGGCATTCCTGGGGACCTGTAGCAATCAAAATGGGGGTGCCAAGTAGCAGGTGTGCCACAAACTCCACTTTTGGGATGGTTTTCTAAATTGGAAATTTTCTATTTTGGGCAGGGTCTCAGGAAGGCAATTTTTTCCCTCTACTTTACTTTAAAGAAGGAAGATCTTAAAGCTTGATTTGCTGCACCTAGAGTAGTTTTAAAAGCTCCAAATTAGATATTAGAATACACCTTAATTTAAAAACTTGTTTTAAAACCATTTCAGTTATAACCTATATATATATTTATTAATTAATTTGAATGTATTAATTGATAGTTTAGACTAATGTTTATTCATATGAGAAATGTAACTGAATTTAAATATATCTTCAGGTTAGTATCAAAATGTCAGATTAGTCACTAACTGTTTTTTTCCTGTGGAAAAACTAAATAAAAGCAAAAAACGAATCTATTTTTAGAAGTAATCACTGTAGATTAGTTTGAGAATGGAAGAATATAAACACCAGTTTAAAACCTCAGAAGGGTGTCCTGATTTTCTCTGCCATTAAAAAGTTCTCTTTTTAATAAATGCTTCTGAGGATCTATGACATATTTTCATAACATGCAGTGTTATAGCTAAAATATTCTAATTTCTAACTCTGCCCTGACGTTCCATTCATTGAGGAGTAGGTGAATGCAGTGAGTAGATTCTGATTCATTCTTAGCTTTCAGTGGTTGTGTTTTATTTTATTCATTATTTATACTTCATGCTGATCAGATAAAAGCTGGCCTGAGAAGCAAGCCGAGAGATACGTTGATTCCAATATGCAATGGCTGACAATAGATGTACAAAAAAGGTACAAGCACCTCACAGACATTATTATAGAATGACTTGATGACAGAGAAAGTTTCTTAAAGCACATTTTTTCTAGATATACTCATCCCCCCTAGGTTTTTAGAGCCTCTATCACTAATATCCTGATGTTATTTAGTTTTTGTGTGCTTGATTTTTAGTCTCTGAAAGTATTGCAGCCTGATAGATTTCTTCCTTGTTAGGCATTGCATTTAACAGCCTAAATATTACTATTAAGCCAGCTGCTGTATTCTACATATTCTGAACTCCACCCTAAATTATCCTGTTGAAAGCTAGGCAAAAGTTGTTTTGTCACTTTTAAAGTCCTGGTCATGACATGACATGACAGTATTTTGTTTGTAGTACCCGATATTTGTGATCCCCAGTCTTGAAGCCCAGCTGCTGAGAACTGGGAGGGATTTATCACTTTGCAATTTTTTAAAATGGCAAGCAGAAAGTTAACAAGAAAAGTATAATTCCTTATTCACATATATCTGTCTGCATTGATAATCTGGAATTGGCAAAAAATTCAAACCCAAGGCTTGTATTAATACAAGTAATGCTAAAGTTGGAATGGTGGGTAGAAATTTTCTCTTCTGGGGATAATATAAGCAAGAGCGAGGGACTACATTTTCATTTGCAGCTCTTACTGCATACAGTTTAATTACATATTGGTGTGCAAAAATTGTTGTTGGTCTAAGTGGACACTGTTTTATTCCTAGAAACATCCTTAAGATATATTCCAAGTTGCATTTGTTATTTCTGAAAATATCATAGATCTATATTAGATCTAAGATACACAGATCTATATTAGACGTTGCTGTTGATTTAATCAGTTTCCCTTTCTTTGTGCAGGACAGCATGAATAAGATTATTCTGTAAGTAATTTTCTTGTTGTTTTCTGAAAAGTTCTGTTCTGAATTAGCTCTACCTCAGGCTTAGTAAGTCTGACCTCAGCATGAAAGACAAGAGAAAGATCTTAAAATGTGTGAACAATAGCTAATCAAGCACAGTAATGCTGGAGAGCTTATTTTCTTGTTTATGTAATCTGTCTGGGCCAAACCAGGGTCTGATTCAACATCTAAGTTGGTGGCTGGCATTTTAATGCAGTATCCAACTCAAAATTTTCTTACACAATTAAACTGAGGGATTACTTAGCTTTTATTAATACCTTAGAGACCGAATTATTCAGTTCAACTGAACAACTTTTTGCCCTGTTCCATTGCCATGTCTGTGGAAGGATATTTGATCATTTTAGTCAAACAGCCTCCCCTCAAATAATTAGTCCTTACCAGATCTATCAGGTAAGTATCTGCATATGTTTGATAGGCATTAATGAAAAAATTGTATCCTTTTCTCCTAGTTGTATACGCTTGCAATAAATCCAGGTAAAATATGCATTGACATGATGTAAAAATGGTTTATTTCTATAGCTGTAAGATATAAAAATATCATTAGGAAAATAACAGATTTAATGACAACAGTTAGAAATATTCAAACTTTATCTAAGAGCCTAATTGTTTTCTTGCAGAATATTGTTTTAAAAATTGAAAGTTTAGAGAGGAGAAAGCTTTTCCCTCATCCCACTTTGCTTTGTTGTAATCAAATCCCTGCAGGGATACTCAGGTTTGGAGTTTTGATGGATTTTTGTGTACTGTGTTGGGCACCTCTCCCTCACCACTCATCTCTTTGGCACGTCACCTCAATTTCAAGAGTTTTCATTGCTCTTGCCTTACGCTAGTCTGCACCTTTCCTGACAAAGTCTCTGGCAATGCCTGTGGAACTTATTAATCTGCTCTTGCATTCCGTGTCTGTTTCCTATATCCATAATCAGAATTATCGACTCTAACTGTAAACTTGTGGAGATAAGTGCTGTTTTTCCTCGGGGCACTATCACAGTCTTGGTTTGGTCCACAGCACTGCTGCAGGGCTGTGTGATAATGATGATTAATGACTCCACAAAATCCCATTACCGCAGCTGGCTTGAAATGTTCCGGTGAACATTTCATCTGTAGATGCTGATTCACAGACCTCAAAATGTGCCACCAGAACCATCTTCAAAATGGAACCCCTGAGCTCCTGTCTGGACTCTGACAGTCTGCTCCATCTTTCCCCCTGCCAGCTTCCCGAGCCTCAGTTTCCTTGCCCCACCAGTGTGATGCTGCCATGCAGTCAGCTATTCAACTCTTACAACGGCACACGTCACCTCAGATTTTCCCCAATCAACCGCTGAACCCTTGCAGCTTTGCTCAAGAGGTATTGCAATTTTTTCTCTCTGCAGTGTTGAGTAGAGGGTATGTCTTTCAGTGTTAAGCATCTTCTCTGATGCTTTCTGTGTTGTATCAACCTATACAACAAACATATCTGGTCCAAACTTCTGCCTGAGATAAATACATAATGTTTGTTTCCAAAGGGACAAGTGAGTTTGTGCTGATTACAGCATACCACAAAATCTGGTGTTGAATCATTCATCAACATTCATAGAAACAAGTCAAGAACTGGCTTAGGACAGACTGCAGAGCATTCCTGGGAACCTGGGCTGGAGGTTGAATTAATCTAGACCCAAGTTCCAGCAATTTAGTTGGGTCAAATGGAGTGAGGAAGGTAAAGAATTTCAGAGGGTGACACAGTGGTCATAAAATGTGTAGTGTATATTGAACTCTACCTACAGGCAGTGTGGTAACAACTCTATCCTAAGCAAAAACCAGAGGTACAGATGAAAGACATGAAAGGCACAGGGCTGTTTTGTGAAAATTTGCTTTTGGACATTCTCTTCACCATAAGAGATAGTTAACATAGCCTGGAGAGCTCTGACAGACCTAAAGTGACATGCTTTGAAAACTACGGCAGAAGATCTGAACTGATAGGTAAAATGAATATAAAAAAAAAATGGGAAGAATTTCTGTGACTTTTCCCATGACTTTATTCTAGAATGAAAGAATGGATTCTTCCAGGACCAACCTTTCTTCTGCTTGGAAAGGCAGTATCTCCAGATAACAGGATATTCTGAGCTGGAAGGATAATGGTGGTAATGCAATTAAGAGTGAAGGGCCTATCCGGGGATTGAACCAAGGAACCTGGTGTTTTCAGCACCAAGCTCTAACCAACTCAGCCAAACTCAGCCAAACTCAGCATCCGCAAGAATTTTTTTCTGATGACACTTTGTGTTGTACCTGACATCTAAGTGCTGAAATGTGCTCCAGCCACTTGTCTTCAAAGTTAAATTTGTTCATGAAATATCTGCTGGGAGAATTGAGTTGAGCAATGAGGAATTTCTATTGATAAAAGTGTTTCAAGAGGTAAAATACACTACTTGTTCCTAGTACTTAAAATTCTCTCTAAATTAAGATTAGGAATCAGATTTCAAAGCTAACTGCTGTGAATAGTTATGCAATTAAATTTTAAATGTATGTTTGCTCATGTGGATTTGTCCATTCATTCATTTACAAAGGAGAAATGTTATCAAAGCTTTAAGCTGAATAAAATATTCCTCTAAAATCTCCTGTAGGGAATCACTAGAAATAAAATACTGCCTGCTGTATCACAAATCATTTCTGAAATATAAAAACTAATAATATCACGTAGAATCATTTCAGATTTATATATTAAACAAAATATCTTTGATATTTAAAGAGTAGGAGAAACTCTGAATATGCCAAGTTTTTCTTATAATTTTTCTTATGTAAATATGCTTTAACATAGCTTCATTCAGAAATCAGTGCCTCCTTGTTCCAAAGGATTAAATCTATATGGACAGAATTATGTCAGAATTTAAAAAGAAACTTAGGAAGCTATGCAAACTATGCTAAGAATGGCAGTAACCGTACCTAGTTAAGGTTCTGATTGATCTCTGGTCAGGAAGGCATAGTTATAATAAGGAATTTATTATATATAATTCTTAGCATGATGTTAGCTGATTAGTTAGAGGTATCTGCAATTTAGATGCTGAAGGAAACCTACAAGAGAGAACTTCTTAAAGAGCGATCAACTTGATGACTCCTTGGGTTCTGCTTAATGTGAAAGTGTCCTCTGTGATAAGTAAATCTCTTCCAGAGTAATGGAATAGAAGATTTTCAAGGAGAGTTTATATACATGGGAAACTTTTAACAATACTAATGTCAACGAGGCCCTACAAAACATTTAAAAAAATATATAGCTCAAACTCTTCAGTAAGGAATAGTAAATTAGATAAAAGATGTTAAATGAACCTGAGAAGAGAAAATATCTTGTTTCAGGTAAGGTACTGTTGTGCTTTAATCTGGTAGGCAACTGAACATCACACAGCCACTCACTCCCCTGTGGGATGGGTGAAAGACTTGGAAAAAAAGGTAAACATTTGTGGGCTGAGATAGACAGTTTAAAAGGACAGAAAAGAAAGAGAAAAATAATAATAATAATAACAATAATAATAGTAATAGTAGTAATAAAAGAGTATTCAAAGCAAGTGATGCACAATGCAATTGCTCACTCTCTGCTGACCAATCCCCAGTGTGTCCTCAAGCACCAGGCTAACATCTCCTTGGCCAGCTTCTCCCAGTTTTATTGTTCAGCACAATGACATGGGGTATGGAAATTTCCTGGAGTCAGTGAGGGTCAGCTGTCCCAGTGTGTGCCCTTCCAACTTCTTGGGCACACTCAGCCTCCTCAGCAGTGGGGTGGGGTTGGCTGAGGAGCTGAAATGTCTTTGACTTAGCAATAACTGAAACATCAGTGTGATTTTGATATTGCTCTTACCCTAAATCCAAAACACAGTACCAGCTAGTATGAAGAATATCAACTCTATCCCAGACAGAACACCTAAGAAGGTGGTTCTGTTCTCAGAACTTCTGAATTTAATATTTAAAAAATGAAAATCAAAATAATATTTTTCAGTTCAACATTCATTCAGACCTTCTCCTCATCTACAATGTTAGTGAATATGTGATCTCTTGCTAGTACTGCTCTTTTCAGGCATGTTTGATATATTCAGAAGCAGAACCAAAAGATATCAGAACTTCCTGGATAAAAGACAAGAAGCTTTTTATTATTATGGCTTAGGTATTCTATTTTTAACTGAATTCACTGAGTCTAATTCCTCACATATTTTAGTCTAGTTCCTAACAAACAAGTGCAACAAGGTCTAATACCAATTCCTCACATATTTTCTACAAAAATAATTTCTTTAATTTTTATTCTTTTTAGCAATGCCAATTTGACATTGGTTTTGTTTTCTGTGATATAAAAGAATCCTGTAGAAAAGTGCTTCTGCTGTTGAAGTGCAAGAATTGCATTGTGTCCATTGCCCAATTTAAAAAAATCTCAATCCTAAATGATTTGAAAAATCTGCTTATACTAGGAAAAAGACCCTAAAATGGCATTTTAATTAAAAATCTGTTTACTTGAGCAAGGACTGCAACATTTTTCTAGACTATATCTCATGAATTAATGTGAAAGGCATCCAATCTTCTGAAAACTGTCACACTTCTTTTAAAAGATGCTACACAAAAGTCAGGCACATACACAAGTGTGGATTAGAAATAGTCTTAATGGAGTAGGCATATCTTATTTTTATTTTCCATATGAGTAAATTTGTTCATTTTTCACAGATTAATGTGATAACCTTTGGCACATGTAGTTTTAATGTATTAACAAAACCGAGATAGATTTGTCATATAATTCCATTTCCATTTTTGCATGAATCCCTAACACTCAGTTACCTCTTTTAGTGTCAATGCAAATGTCTCTGAGAAGCTACAACTTATTATTCAGGAAGCATCCTTAACTGTATCAAAAGGCAAAACAGATGACTATAGTATATAGAAACAAGGTAGCCTTTATTTGCAGCAATTTGCCAGAAGCCCTTTATGAATTAAGAATTGTGCAACGATATTGAATAAAGAATTCAGAATTAACAATCATTGCAGGCCTCAGCAATTGCTACTCTGTCCTCAGCAATTGCATAAGGTAGCTTAAATTGAATTACTGGGTAATTTATTTTTTTTTTAATAAAAGTAAAACAATTTTTTTTTCATGTTGCTACTTGTTGTAGTGCTATTATATTTTTTTTTTTTGGTAAAATGTTCAAATAAAGACCAATGTAAACATCTAAGAAATGTGTGTAAGAAACTTTATACCAGGCCATAAGAAATGGAAATCTTTTCTTCTGTTGCTTCAAATTGGTTTTTTCTGTGATGTATCTGTGCACTGACATACCTACAAGAAATTGTTGAGAAGACAGATAAAGGAGAGGAGCTTTGGGGGACTGGAAGTGAGACTTAGGGATTAGCTGCAGTATGAATTAGATGAAGTGACTGTACACTATGATATTTTGAAAAGTAAGAAATAAATCAGGACTGATTAAATGAAAATTTCTTTAAGGAGGAAAAAATCCCTTATCTTCCTCCAGGTTCCACTATGACATAGAGTTAAGGAGGTTGTCCTTGTCCAGATTTTTTACCATGTTTAATTTAGTATTCTTTGTTGTGCTCTACTTCTGGCTTCAAGACAAATAATATATTTTAAACATACTTATCAGGAATATGAGAGACATGTCCAATGTGAAAGCTTTATTAATATTAATTAATGTACTTGACAGCTGAAAGTTGCAAGGGTTATGAGATATTTGCATGGAAAACATAGATGCAGTGCTGGTGAAAAGTACAGAGGGAAGAGAGGGAGAAATTTTTTCACTATCTGCAATACTATTATGAAAAGAACTGCTCCCCTGTTCCTCTGGAATTATTAATTCTGATTGGACTAAAATGCAGCTATGCTCATTTTATTACTAGCTATTACCAGCAAAAAAACACTCCTGGGAAAACGTTTGGATCGATTTATGTTAAATGCTTCAAATTACGAACAAGAAGTACATTAGCTTTCTCTTGTACAAATTATCACTGTATTTTCTTCTACCTTAAGGGACAGAAAACAGTAGTTCCTCTTGATTGTTGCAACTCTCCCGGTGCTGTGCTATGGTCCTCTTTCTAGGGCGCTCTTCCTGATGTTTAATATTGTTTCTTTGGTGTCTGTGTACTTCTGCTGTTATGAGATTTGGCCTGAAATAGGAAATTTCTTGTCTGTGACTGAGCCTATACAACACCAACTTTACTCTGCAGTATTTGATACAAACAGAACTATTCTTCTTTTTGCAAGACATGCAGAAGGTTGTAGTTAATGATGGTCTTGTCATTTTGCTGCCCAACTGTGACAACCATGGTTTAGCTATAGGCTAAATCAGAACCCAGAGAAACACAAGTTCTTTGGCTCAGAAATTCTCTAATCTTGCTGTGCCTGTTATTGATAGCTTTGTTGTTTCAGCAATTTCTGGTTTCTGTCAAATCCCCAGCAAGTTATTGAACTTTTGAATGTCATATCGTTGTAAAAGGCAAAAGGTCTTCTGCAGCATGTGTTGCCTTCTGGGATGTCACAGAAAGTTTTGGTCAAAATAATTGTCCAAGCCTGTGAGGCTTTGGCTGCAGAATCAAAGTAGCAAAAAAGGAAAGGAAAAGAATAAAATAAAGAAGGAAAAGACTGCAAATTTCTCAAAACCTTTCCCTTCATTCTCTTTTTAGAGGTGTGGAGGACTTAACAGAACTTTTAAATAGCCCAGATTACTTTCCACTATGATCCTTGCCACATAGTTTTTACAGTTAATAAATTGTTCACATTACAAGTATAAAGTCTGCTGGGAAGAAAAGACATCTGAATCACAGCATAAAATTCAAACTTTTTTGGTGTTGAATACATAGCTAGACTAGTTAATAGATTGTTTGGTGATCTCGCCATGATGATCTTCCTAAGAAAGGTTAAAAGATATTGGAAAAATTCCAGGACTGTGTAAGTGTTTAACATCAGAGGAACATCAGACTTAGAGAAAAAAGGGATGAAAAGCCTCAGGAAATAGCCTGGTTCATATTTCTATCTGTGATTAAGCCATACTAAAGTAAATACAAATCTGGTCCTAATGCTGGGCATATCTATAGCTCAAAGAAGATGATGAAATACATCTGAAGCATTTCTCCAAGACTAGTATGTTGGTTTCAAAAAGGAATTACATATCAATTGCAAACCTCTTGGGAATAATTGCAATCAAGTAAGTTGTAAACTAATTTTCTTTCAGGTCTAAATCTACAGACTGAATGCTAA